TGTTTGAATGGTAGTAACGGACATATTTCAATTGAAATACAATATCAGTTAAACACAGATTAATGATGTAATTTAGTTTTGTCCAATTAGGTTTTAAAAGTTCAATGAATATAAAAAGGGTTCATAAAAGTATATGGGCTGCAAATTGAGCTCTACTGGTGGTTTGATTTACTGAGAACAGAATTTATTAATTTTAAAAGATTCTGACGTTGAATGTGTAAAAACAATCAAAATGATCCTGTATAGACTTCTGTCCAAACTGCCTTAAAAAAGTAAATTCAATATAGATCTATGTAAAGAAATGTAAAACAATTTGTCAGGAGAAGAGAACGCATTAATACTCATAGTAGAAAAAATGAAAAGATTCAAAAGTCAATTTTAAGGGAAAAAGGGTTTCTGGAGAGCAGACTATCATAACACAGATGTCAGTTTGTTTGTGTGTGTGTGTGTTGGCTGTCTCCAGATGTGTACACACTGCCATGTGAGTCTGGCAACAGCAAACACACTAAACTTCTTGGCTAACGTGTGAAGTGTGCCGTGACCTCTGGCTCCTCATGTGGCCACCCAATTAGGTTTGCTAAGGCCAACATTTGTCTTATTTAATGACTAAATTCTTTAGACAGTGACGCCTCGCAAGGAATCCTTTTTCACCTACTAAAATAAACTCAAAATAAACTAGATTAAACTAAAACAGTGTGTGTCTGTGTACTAAAACAGTACAATCTTACATAAAAGGAAAGGAAACAAGGTTAAGGTTTGTGAAGTGTGACCAATTACTTTTGTTTGTTATTTTACATGGCTGTGAACATACAATCTGATTTAATCTGATGACTAAAAGCTACATGGTCTATCTTCAGAAGAGATCTGGGTCATACAGTGTTCATAATAAGGTTTAATCATGTCCATAGTATTGGTTAGGTTGACTTCAGTCCATGAAGAAACTATAAAAAATGTATAAAGTCCTTTCATACTCTTTTATTACTCACATCAAAGTTAAAACAAATGCTGAAAATGATTTGTAAATATTATATAAGGCAGTACTGTTGTGAAAGCACTGCCAAAGCCACACACTCCAGTAACGCACCGCCTAAAGACACACATAAAGAGATTTACAGGCCAGCTCAGAATTTGGACTGCTAGTGTTAAAACTAAATAGACACAAAGAAAAAAAAGCGAATGCATAAACACAACGGCACCCGCCTCCATATGTTGCACAGACTTTCACAGACTCATACATGTACGTGGTGTTTTTTTTTTCATGCAGGAAATGTGGCCTCACCCTGTTCATAATGTGGCCATGTCGAGAAGTCCACGAACAGCTTAAATCTGACGTATGCGTGTGTGACGGGCAGGTGAGTGGAAGCTAAAACAGCTGTAACTGTGTGATGCCATTCAAGGAAAACTCTGGGTGGAGCCGCCACCGGCCTGCAGAATAAAGCTGCACTTGTTTCACAGCACCAGAAAGTCCGAGTCTGGATGCTTGTGTGCTCTGCAACATGTTTCACATGATACAATGAAAGCTTGTTTACACATCAAGAAGGTAAAAGAGCTCAGGGAGAATATGTAACACACACTGTTGTGTATCTGCACTGAACAGGGTGTTTCCAGGTAGAAGAGGTGGGACCGGGTACAAACAGGATACAGGAAATGGGCTTGCGTCTAAAGAGGGTCAATCGAGAAAGATGCCTGCAGAATAATGGACACAGTGTTACTCTTGTTCAAAATAAGGTCATGTTACAATGTCACAGCAAAACATTTTTCAAGAATGTCATTTATGGTGGTCTGCACATATATATGCTCAGTGATAGGAGGACTGAGATTGCTACTTTTTTAAAAGTAAAAGTCCTTCATTCAAATGCTACTTAAGAAAGAAAATTAGTATTATCAGCTACATGAACTTAAAGGATCGAGAGTCCCTGTTCTGCAGAAAAATGGCCCCTGTGACTGATTATGTGACATTATTAGACTGTTAACACGTACTCAATGCATAACCAACGTTATACAGTTGTAGCTGACCAAGCTAATTTTCATTTACCTATAAACAGTTAGATAGTATAGTCCAGTGGTTGTCAATCTAACGGTCAAACCCCTACAAAGGCTCAAAAGTCAAAGCTCAGGGGTCATCAGATGATTATTGGGAGAGTATAAAATTGATTAAAAGCATTGCCTTAAAAAAGAGAATCAGTGTGAAGAGTTCATCTATTTTGTGCCCTGCTGTGATATTTTTTGTCCTGCACCTCAATAAACTTTTTTGTTTTAAATAGTGGACCTCTCAAACATTTATTTCAGTGAAAAATCAGGAAAGTTCAGAAAGGAAATCTTTGATGGAACTGCAAACCACTTATAGCAATCTGAAACATAATAAGAGGTCTGTATTGTAAACTAATCTGAAAAGTATCCAGTAACTACAGCTGCAAGATAAATGCAGTGGTGTAAAAAGATTCATAACACAAAAAAAACAGACTGTTGTTTAGGCGATTAATGGAAACGGTGGTGTTTCGTTTGCTCCATCCTTCCACCTTCCTTTGGACTGTCTGCATAGTCACCGAATATAATATAATATATAATAATAAGGTACATTTTTACCTTGTAAAAGAAAGACATGCTCATTCTAATGCTGCATTCTCCAATGTAATAGAAGAGAGGAACAGACTGGACAGAAAAGTTGAGTGCAATCAACAGTTTTAGAGGCCAAAAGGAAATGTAAGATTTAAATAACTTTACTAAAGGTTTCATTTAAAGGCTTTAATGTGAGGTGTTCCGTTTGTCCTCCTAAAGCTGATATTGTAAATTCCATATTTAAATTAGAAATAGTTAAATTGATTGTGATGAATAAAGCTAAAATGTGTCTCAGTCTAACTGGCCTTAAAGTGGAAAGTGTTCTATGGCTTTTTCTCCACATAGGGTGGTGAACTTACTCGACTGTACAAAGACTTGTGTTGTGAATGAATGTGTAGGCTTGTGGGGCAAGGCACTCAGTCCTGGGCGTGTACTGTCACAGCCTTCAACAGAGGGTATTTATTTTTATTTGTTCCCGCTCCTGGAGGTTTGCTGTTAGGTTTGGGCTTACACTGTGTGAAGTAATAGAGCTCAAGATGTTTCACAGATTTCACTTTAGAGACTGTCAAGCCATCAAATAACCTCAACAATATCATCACAGATCATGTATGAAAAAGCATGTGTGGAGTCCCATACAGATTTCATTCAATATTATATATTTTGTGTATGCTGGTTTAGTACCACACACTATATGACACTATACTAGAGGATTTTTATAATCAATTAATCGTTTAAGTCAAATGTTTTTCCATTTCATGCCACTTTTGTGAGGCAAATAATGCACTTCTTACTCAATTTAATTTATATCATAGTTTGAGTTACTTTGCGGATAATCAACTCATGAAGTATGTATTATTGTAGATTAAATTACCCGGCAGTCAATAAGGTAGTAGGAAAGAAGTACAATCAGTGTGACATTAGTGATACTTACACATGAATGCATCAATAATTATAATCCAATAATATAATGAATATTATTCTGAAACAGGCCATTCTGCATAATGAGTACTTTTATTTTGGTACTTTTGGTATAATTTGATGCTATTAGTTGTGTATTCGTAATGTAACAGAGTATTTCTAGACTGTGGTATTGGTACTTTTACTTACTTCTGCAACTTAAATTCTGGGAAAAGTTTGGACGTATATTTTCTTTTATAGACTAAGCAATTAATCCAAAAACTAATTAAAGCATGAATCAATAAAGAAAATAATCATTAGTTGCAGCTCTACACTGTATGAAACTTAATGTACATTAACAATAAATGAGATATTCTCTACTGTATGTCATTCTGAGGATGATGATGAAGAAAGAATTTAACTACAGAGAATATAAGCTGGAAATGGGAACACAGGGTGATATCATAAAGTGGGCTCTTAAGGAGCAACTTATCTCACATATAGTGATTGTGACCCATAGCTCAATGTGCCTTTAGTGCTTTTTCACAGCAGACATTTTGACTTGTCATAGTAGGAAAAAGGCGGTTAATAATAACATTAACAATCTCTCTGTTCCATTCAAGTGTCCCAGTAAGCAATGACAGTGTGACAGTCAGCCAGTGTGCACAATACCAGGATCCTGAAACTGAAGCAGCTCAAAGGAACTGAGCCATCATTAATTTTATTAGTTACACTTGTGCTTTTACTACTGTGACATGTCAAAATGTCCTCTCTGAAAAAGGCCTATACACTTAAGGATCATACACAATGCAGAATAAATCTTCTTCATACTCTAAAGAACAAATAAATAATTACTAACTACATCCACTTGTCATCTTGGATTATTATGTATTTCCACTCTTACCCTAAAATGTAAAAAGGTCTATTTTGGGACAAGGGTTTGTGTTGTGAACTCTGGACGTGATGTGCTATTTCCCCTCTGGTTTGCCATGATGTCACCATGGGAATATAGCTCATGGGAGTTCAGCCTCTGCCCTGATTGGTAGAGACAGCCTTCAAGCTAGATGCATAATAAAAACTGTATTTTCTATAAAGCTGAGTATGACAGAAAACCACAGGAATGACACTGAATGTGAAGGTAAGGGCTCTCTTCCCTCCTCCAGTGTCACTCTGGTGTTACTTTGAGGAGGTTGAGTGGGAGGAGATATGCAGATGGTGCCAGTGGAGCCCTATTAGTGGTGTCTGTAGTCCACCAACCTCACAGTGGACTGTTGTCACTCCAGTCCACCGCACCCACAGCCAGCGTTAGGGTCAGCATTCACAGGGTGGCATTCTGCCTTATGCACAGCCAAAAAAGGTTGTAGTGCCGAGACTGAAGTTTTTTTTTTGTGTTTTGAGATATCTTCTTTTCCCTATCAAGTGAACGGAGTGGAATATTTAGGGAATTACTTTCCCTTTATGGAGAAATACTTTTTTTTACTGTGAGATCACATTGAAGACTTTTCTTACTAAGCGTTTGACTTTTAACACGTGGATATTCAAGGATGCATTCTGTGATGGCGGTGAGTCCTTTTGTGTTCATGAGTCTACTTCTGTCACTGGTCGAAACCAAGTTCTACAGACCGTTCCAGTTTAACCAGTATAAAGCTGGGCTCACTCAACACCATGACCAAGGGAAACCCACCAGCAGACACAAGTAAGTTTGGTCTCTCTCTCTCTCTCTGTCTTGTGCTCTAAGGAATCAAGTCCACAACTTAATCTAATTTCACTTTGAATGACCGAATTACCAACTGGAAAACATAATAATGTCTCTCACCTCTATTCTGTCATCTTTTATCTCCTCTCTCAAAGGAACCACTGTGCCTATGTAATTGAAAAGACAGTGTCCTTCACCGTGCAGGATGGGGCAGCCCCATATGTAAAAGCTGAGTACAACAAGTGTTCCTGGGGTCAGAAATGTCCAACTCTTCTGTGAGTAAACAACAGCTCTAATTATGTTATGGTGACATTTAGCCCTTGATCTGAGTCAACATAAAACTGAAATTCACTTGACTTCAGGGTACATGCCACAGTCAAGTGTTTGTTTCTGACTAATGGTTGGTTGTTCCCCTCAGGTATCGTCTGATGTACAAACCACTCTACAAGGTGGCACATAAAACTGTCACAGAGCTGGAGTGGCGTTGTTGTCCAGGGTACTCTGGTCATGGCTGTATGGAGGGACATCCAGTTTACCAACACCCCATGAAAATGATGCCGCCATTCAAGGGTCCGTCAATGAAAGGCCCACAGTTTAAGGGGCCGCAGTTTAAGGGCCCACAGTACAAAGGCCCCATGTTCAAGGGTCCCATGTTCAAGGGCCCACCTATTAACACAGTTATGAAGGCCAACCCATGGAGTCAATCTAAAGGACCTCCCACCAGCGGCTCTAACCCAATGCACCACTTTGGGCCTCCAAGGTCCTCCTCCTACCCAGACACCTCTTTTGAGCCCTATCCGTCTGAACCAGAGCCAATGCCAGAGCACCAGGAACCACATCACACAGAACACGACCAAGAACATGAGCATGAACATAATCATAGCCAAGGACCTGAGGAACACATACCAGAGGAAATCCCTCCGCCTGTCTCTGGTGGGGAACAGCCTGAGGGTGAGACCATAGGTGTGTCCTTTTTCCATACTACATACTAATTTTCTGGGTTTTCTGGAAACTGGGTTTCACTATGTAGTGTGTTCACACTGGATAAATGACAGTACTGAGCTTGCACTTTTTTAGAGTCACATTGGGCTGTGAAAGACTGATTTACCTTTTTATTCTGAACCGGTTTCAAACAAAATTACACCAAGGCACAATAATGTGTTATGTTTGTGTTAACAGCTCTTCTTTCTCTCTTTAGGCCAGACTCTAGACAGTGAGACAGAAGAACGAATATATAGAATGGAGGAGGATGTACAACGTCTAAACCAGGGTCTGGAGACCCTGAGGGGAACTGTGAATGGACTGGAAGATAGTCTACGAGCCTCTTTGAGAGAGGATGCCAACAGGATGCTGTCAGCTCTGCTCTCTGCTGCCCCTGGTCCTGTTCCCGCTCCAGCTGTAGCCTCTAGTCCATCCACTGTAGGGTTTGTAGAGATTCCCGGGGGAGACCCTGAGACAGAGGGTCTAGATGGCACACATGTGTTTCCGGGCCTTACAGAACTGAATGGAAGAGTAGAGGAGCTCAGGACAGTGCTGCAAGTCAAGACAGCAGAGCTGCAGGAACTTAAGGCAACAGTGATGGGACATGATGGAGCACTGAAGACAATGTCAAATAGAGCAGGAGTGGTATTAAACTCCACTGGCAATCTTGGAGGAAATGCCCAGAGAGCTATGGAGACAGTGATGGATGCAAAGCTGAGTGCAGCCAGGACAGAAATTCTTGGTGGGTTTGAGAAGCGTGTGGAGAGTGCAGAGGGCCGATGTGAAGAAAAAGCTGGGGATGCGAGTCGTCAGTGCCAGAGAGAGCAAGGTGAGAGGCAGGAGCAGATGGAAGACACTCTGGAGGAAAGTACCACAGGCTTGAGAACAGAGCTGAGAAACCTCCAGGCACAGATCCATGATTTAAAGGCTACAGAAAGCTGCGGCCGTAGAGTGAATGGGCTGGATGAAAGAGTGCAGCTGCTGGAAACATCAGTGGCAGGCCTCAACCAGTCCCATGGGCACCTGAGAGTGGAGCTGGGTGGACACAAAGACCACATAGAGGGAATGCTGGAGGGGCGTCTGGGGTATGTAGAGGCCAAGCTCAACCTCACTGGACAGATTAAAAATAATGAGTCTGGAAGGAGGAGTGGTATCCCAGACACAGCTGAGACAGGACAGGTCCTGGAGGCCAGAATGGAGGGTAAGTTGAGTGCCCTGGAAGGCCGTTTACTGACGGCTTTGGAGGAGCTGGGTAATGCCACTGCCCCTGCGCTGCTGGAGGGTCACGCTGTTCCCACTCTGGAGACGGAGCTGGAGTCCCTCCGAGGGAGACTAGAGGTGGATGTAGACAGAGTGCAGAAGCACCTAAACAGCCTTGAGATTCTTTGTTCCTCTTCCTGCTCCTCACCTCCAAACCCATCCGCCATCCAGGGAGACTCTGCTGCACCAAGTGTTAACCTGGGACAGGAGGACAATGTGAAGGAGGTACTGGACATGCAAGGTGACCGTTTGAATAGTCTCAATGTCACAATGCAGAACATCCTGAGGCATCTAACCCCCAGGGATCAGCATGAACAAGCTGAGGGAGATTATCCCATCCAGGGTGAGCTCACAATACTCAAATTCAATGTCCGTTCAGTCAACCACACCCTTAAAAACCTTCAGGATTCCCTAGGAACAGTGCTCCACCAGGTGGGGCAATCCAACAGCTCCTGGCATGAGAGAGAGGCTCGTCTGGCCCAGCAGATAAAGGGTGTGGTGCAGCTGGTTGGACATCAGGCTTCCATGCTTGGAACAGGTGAGCGTAGACTGACCCGACTTAAGGGTGAGCTGCTGGAGATGAAGAGGCGGCTCGCTCAGGAGGTCCAGGGCTGCCGGAGCACAGCTATGGGAGTCCAGAAAGAGGTAACTGAGGTTGGAGGGCGTGTTGCCAGTGTGGAAGACCAATGCAAGGGCCTGAATTACTTGGCTGAGGACCTGGAGAGAATTCGGGAGGAGTTGGAGGGACAATCAAATGGGCTTCTCCAGCAAGTCAATGGGACTCTAACCAGCCATGCTCAGCAGCTGACTGAGCTGAGAGGCGAACTCAGAAACTGCACCTCCAAGGTGGAGACAACACAGCGGAGTTCAGAGATGGAGCCAGAGCTGAGACGAGGGGACACCTTCACTTTGAATTAGTTCAGTGTATATGGACAGTAGATTTTAAAAATGAATGAAAAAGGACAAATATCCTCCATTTGTAGTGGGGGTCCACTAAAACCCCATCTTATTATTCGAATTGTAAAATGCAAAGGTTTTGAACCTGCACTGAAGTAAGGATGGTTTTAGTTAGCTTACAGTATAAAATGAAATGGCAGCTTATTCCGACTGCACTGATAACACAGAATCTTGAAACTGAATCATAAAGGTGCTAAGATGAACTGTTTGTTATAATGGACTGTTATTTAGAGCTCCAGTATTGAGGAAGAGATAAACAGCAAACTGCACCTGTGTTGCTGTCCTGTTTCTGTAAAGCTTACAAAAAAATTCTTACATGAGCAATTTAACAATGTTTACATGTTTTAGTTTTTGTATTGTTTTTTTCTTATGTCTAGACTAGAAGTATACAATGTATTATGTTTTTATATGGTTTAATTTCTAATAATTAGTTTCTAATTGTAATAATGAATAAAATGTGAGTATTGCGAGCTATATACAGTTTGATTTCAAGATTTGTCATTACTGACAATCCAATAAAGACATTTCTTTACTGTTCATGCTTTCTTGGTTAACAGACATTTCTAGATACATATAGACATTTTTTTTTACTGTTATCTGAATTGGATTGTATAAACAAAACCAACCCTAAATTAGAGAAACTAGTTATGTTTCACTTTAGAAGTGAGAGGTGTTGATGCAGGGAAGTGGGGAAACCACAAGAGAGCAATAGAGAAGCATTAATAGTGTTGTCTGCTGGGGACTAGGGAGACATGACTTGACTGAAGCTGTGCTCATGAAATGTTAGTCTCCCCAAAAATTAAGCTAAGCTGGTTATTGCTTACCAGAAATTACAAATTGGCATTATTGCCAAGGTGAAAAAGAAAGACAAGGCGCATTATGGTACAGTAGCCTATCTCTCTCTCTCTTTCTCTCTCTCTCTCTCTCTCTCTTTAGGCTACAAATCTACCAGCCCAGCCGTCTGAGCCCAGTTTTCATTGGACGTTACAATAGGGTGATAGGTGACCTTGCTAATAACCCTCCCCCGTTAGTTCCTGTTCTCCTATCGGACAAACAACCATTAAAATGACAGCAATGTGGGAGATGAGCCCACTGCTGTGTGAAAACGTTTTAGCCTGAGACATGTGGTGAATAATAAGTATGACAATGCCAGGGAGGAAAGCAGGGCACACAGAAAAGATAGACACCAAATTTATGTTTGGAAGAGTTGAGTGATGGAGCAATCTCGAGACGCAAATATAAACTTAGGTAATGATGCAAGTTCATGCAGAAAAAAGAGAGGCAGAGAGACATATTCCTCTGAGAAACCATTCATAAATATCCAACAAACTATCATTACTTAGTGCAAAAAATACATAACAATAAATGTCATAAAGGAGAAATAACTGAGTAACAGGGAACTGTCTAGAAATCCATTCAGAAAATAATATACAGTAGTCTCTCTCTGCTTCACCAAAGAGTCCCACATTGCTCCAGGTCTCTGTTAAAATCTCTGTCATTGTTTGGATTTTCTTATTTATTTTCTGTATTTCTCCAGTGCCTCTTCACACCTCACACAAGCCCAAACAACAACACATTAATCTTGTTTGTTTCCAAGTAGCCCCTTAGACAGAAAGGGCAGTCAGGGGCTCTAGTGAATTTGTCTCCTCTGACTCAGAGTCTCTTCACTGCTCACTCATAGATCCGAGTTCTGCTCCCTGCACAGCTCGCAGACTGTCACTGGCCAAGCCATGCACCCACATCACAAAAGGCAAAGCTGGCACAAAGACAGAGGACAAAGGATATTGGAGTAAGCAGAGGGCTGCAGTCCTCTAAAATGTGAATCATCCTATATAGTGTCCTCTGTACAAGGATAAGGTTAAAGACAGGGTTTTGTCCTCATTAAAGTGATGGTCTAGAGAACGGACAGTGTTGATTACAGTTGACACACACACACACGAGGAAGCCCAGGAGAGGGACGCCTTAAATCAAGGACTCAGAGCTTCTTAGTAATAGGCTCCAGGACATTCTTCAAGAAGCAGTAATGTGTAAAGCTGTACTGGAGCTTTTGTCTTTTTATACTACAGATGTAGGGATACTATACTGTAAAACACTGCACTCATTTCCTAAACTTGATTTCTTGTAGTGTCAAGAAGATAAAATATTGAGTCCTAATCTAAACACTTCCTTATGTCTTGGCTGTAACACTCACAGAAAATGGATTCTTGCCAGAGTTAAGTGCCTAAACTACAATTTGGCTCAGTCTTCAAACTGGAGTGTAGATTATTAAGATAAACAAGGGTAGCAGAAGGAAAACGATTTCACGTCTACGGAGCGAAGACCTTCCATAAAGTATTTTTAGTAGAAAGTGCACAGAGGTCTTTCACATAAGTACAGTGCATCTCTCGACTTAATCATCTTAGATACAACAGATGGTGTTGGGAGCATGAAGAGCACAAGGATAACAACAAACACCTGCTTCCTCTCACAGTCTCATATTTGAAACATATTGTGAGTTAAAGGTAGGGTAAGCGATTCTAGGTAATGCGATTCTAATCCAATACACTTTTTTCAAATTCAGTGAATATCTCGTCATGGTCCACCAGCTTTCTGCTCTTTGTGTGTGTGCTGTTGTACACAGCCCTGGACCTATAAATGGAAAACAAACAAACTGGATTGGACCAAGCCGCACAACACAAACTTGTTATTCCAGCCATTCCAGACAGGATTTGTGTGTCAGGTTACATTAATTTACTTGTCCACAGACTCTCAGCTTACTTTCTAGTCTGCCAAAATATGCTGTTGTTGTGATGTTAGCAATAGTAGTGGAAAAGTTGTGAGAACCAGTGAGCTGGTGTGCTGGCTCTGGGAAACCCTCTCGTCCTCTCTGTATGTTAGCTGCACAACAGCAACTTAAGCAACAGTTTGCTAACCCACATCATAGTTCACAGTAGTTACATGGCTTCGCCTCATAGCAAGAAAGTCCTGGGTTTGCATCCTGGCTGGGTCAGGGCCCTTCTGTGTGGCATTTGTATGTTCTCCCTGTGTTTGCGTGGGTTTCCTGCAGAAGCTCTGGTTTCCTCCTCCATGCAAACCTGACTATTTGACCAAGGCACTGGCTCAGATGTGCACGGTGGCTGCTCACTGCTTCTAGTACTTAGGATGGGTCAAATGCAGAGAATGAATTTCCCTATAGGGTTTATCGTGGTATTAGATTTCTCAAGAATCACTTACCCACCTTGAATGTTTTTTTGTAGTATTAGTCACACATTAGTTATTCACATAATCTTTAGCTTTGGAGTTCGTAATAAATATACAAAAAGGTCTTTCCTTTTTTCCAACCTTGGTTTCAGCTTCCTTAGATAATGTTAAGCAGCTAATGTACAAAAATGAGGTGTAAAATGCCATATAAGACACAAAACAATCTTGCTCTCAATCCAGTTCAGTTTCAATCCTCAAAATTAGATGAAACCATTCAAACAGGAATATTGATGTAATAAGTCTTGATCTGGTCCTCTTTTGTCCTATTTTATAAAGTGTCAACAGAGAATGCTGACATACTAAAAGGATGTTGATATACCGGGTTTGTCAGTAAGTGCTGTGCTTTGTGAGTCCGTTTTTTTTTTTTACTGTGAGAGCGGTAATGATGTCAACCTAGATCACAGCTAACCTTGCATTGTGTTAATTTGTTCCTTAAGTGACTGAAAGATGGAATTAACAGCCCTGCATTAGGTGCAACCAATCAATTTTCACATGGTTTTAGTAAAATCAAATGTACCACTTTGTTCTGTTCTACTTTGAAACTTAGTCACTATCTTCCAAAAAGAGAAACAACTACAATGACTGGTATGAAGCATATTTTCACAGCTGGGGGACAGACTGAATCGCTTCACTGGGTAGACACACTGAGCTGAATGATGTACAATTAGAGTGGCAATGAGAAGAGCTATCAAAACATCAATGGTCTTATTGCATTGTGTGTGTATAATGTTCACTTGTCATTTAGCATTTATCTTTTTCATATTTCATATTTATTTATTTAACCAGGTAAAAACCGGTTGAGATAAATCTCTTTTGCCAATGTGAACTGACAAAGAAGGCAGCAAAGTTACACGTCAAGGGCAATGTCAATTCCACACATACAATGACATACAAAACAACATACCACCACCACCAGCAACAACTAACACTGTTAGTAAGGGTTACAACAGGAGTCCACAAGAGGGTTGAAGCCCAAAATAAACATGTCACAGAGCGCCTTAAATATGCCCCTCTGAGTCAAACTGTGGTGACCAGGACATTGTGGTCTCAGCATTCTCTCTCTCTCTCTCTCTCGCTATCTCTCTCTCTCTCTCTCTCTCTCTCTCTCTCTTTCTGTCTTTTTCTTCACATCGGTGCGGTGAACTATGCTTTGTTCTTCTCTGTGTGCTTTACCCGCAGGGCCACACAGGTAAAGCAACCCCTAACCCTTGCAGCATAGATATTAAATCGCCCTATTTGATTTCAAAGTGTTGTGTGTATACTGAACTGTGAACAATGTGTCAATACACAGCTATTTTTTTGAAGCATAAAATTATCACAGTAGTACAGATAAGACAGGAGGTAACAAAAATAATGAATAAAATAATAAATACATTGAAGCAAGCGTAAAAATAAAACACAAAAGGGTAGCCTAAAGCTACCAACTGTAAATGAACCACATTGGTTTTGCAAAACTACTGAAGCAGAAGCAGTCAGTAGAAAAGGCAATGGATTGTTCCCACTTGGAAAATTGAATGGATGTTCCTCCTTTGGTACGTTAAGAATATTTGGATTTGGATGTGATTTCCCCCAAAAATCACATTGGTATTGCTTTTAAATCAGCGCAACCTTTTACTTGCCTTTTATTATGTGATAGAGAACATTGTTTCTGTACTGCAAAGTTGAATCTCCTTGATGATTGAAATAATGTCTGACGTGAAATAATTCACAGGATATTTAAA